GGAAAAGATGTATACTAACCATGTATCAGAGCTTTCTTCATGATAGACTGCGCCTCTGGATTTGGTTTCCACATGGCATAGAAGCATACTGCAGCTGCCATTCGTACATGTGCATCCGTATCAAACAGAGTTTTTCGCAGTAAGGGCTTTATTTGTTTTGGTATATCCTTAATTTCTATGTCCTTTGTGAAAGCATCTAGTCCTTTTGCTGTGGAAATCAGCACAAATGCATGATGAAACAATGCCGGATTCTAAAAATATATTTACGGTATGTTAAAAATTAATAATTAGCATTATAAATATATTGCTGCAAACGTTTTGTAGCTTTTAAAAGATTTTTGCCTCCTAAAGGTTTCAGAAAGGTTTTGAAATGTGCATTACAAAGGGCATGATTCTCTTCAGAGATAATGGAGAGAATTAAAAAATAAAATGAAGTTAGTCATGGTGCGTTAAAGATCATTAGAGTATTTCTTAGCTAAGCTTTGGAATGTGTATCCCAAATTAGAGTAGAGTAGAGTAGAGTAAAATAGAGTAGAGTAGAGTAGAGTAGAGTAGAGTAGAGTAGAGTAGAGTAGAGTAGAGTAGAGTAGAGTAGAGTAGAGTAGAGTAGAGTGTTGGAGGATTCATAACTTCTGGAGGCTCCTACTTTGGAGAATACTTGATCCTCTCTTCTTTGTGCCAACCCCTGAGATATTAAAACACAGCTTTCATGTCACCCCGAGTCCTTCTTTTCATTAGATCTACCCATTCCAGCAACTGTTCTTTATATGTTTTAGCCTCCAGTCTCCTAATCATCTTTGTTGCTCTTCTCTGCTCTCTTTCTAGAGTCTCAACATCTTTTTTATATTGTAGAGTCCAAAACTCGATGCAGTATTCCAACTGTGGCCTTACCAAGGCATTATTGTGCATTAATTGCAGTGGGGCAAGAGGATAGCATCATTATTTATTTATTTATCAAATGTAAGTAGGGCCCACATCACTATCTAAGAGATACTGAGTAGTTTACAAATAAAACCCATAAAATCCATGCAAAGACAAAGTTAAAAAGACAAGTTAAAAAGGTGGATGGAGCGCCCCCTAGCAACCAACCACTTCAATTGTTGCATACCACTATTGAATCCCCATGCTAATTGACAGAGCCAGGTCATCATTATTATTATTTATTAAATTCTCTGATGCCCATTTTCTCTAGAAGCTGACTCTCGTAGTTCAATAATAAAATAAATATTTAAAATGTTAGAAATACAAAATCAGTTGCTAGCATATTTATTTTAAATCCCAAATTTTATATACTGGAACTTCTGGAGCCAGACAATCCATTGATGTGACTTAACGATTGTACTTGCATATAACAATAATTCAAGATTTTTAAACTACAATCAGCAAGGTATAACAGGCTGTTTCACATTCACAAAAACAATTAAGTACATTATAGCTCGATATAAAATTCATTGTTCTTTATATTTTGGAAATATAAGTTCCGATGATATTACATCATTTTGGAAGACTATAAATCTCTCCTAACATTTCATAAAATCTAAAGCAAAAAAATATTTTTATAAGAACTCACATAACATTTTGGCATTCTTACATAACAATTTGTAAAATGTTGTTGTTTTTATTCAAAATCTCATAATATCATTTGGGAGATATTTCTTACAGGAACTTGCTGAAATTTTGCAAAGTTTGGTAGTTTTGCAAGATTTTAAAACAGGTTAATTTTGATTTAATTTACTGATTCATCTCAGGGTTAAGATTAAATATGAACTGCGGCGATAAAAGGCATTTCCTTTCATTGTCCTGATGTAAAAGTACAGTTAGTCCTTGACTTATGGCCACAATTGAGCCCAACATTTCTGCTGTTAAGCAAAACAGTTGTTAAGTGAGTTGTGCCTCATTTTTCAACCTTTCTTGCCACAGCTGTTAAGTGAATCACTGCAATTGTTAGGTTAGCAACATAGCTGTTAAGTGAATCTGACTTCTCCATTGCCAGAAGGTTGCAAAAGGGAATCATGTGAACCCGGGACACTGCAACCATCGTAAATATGAGTTGCTAAGTGTCTGGATTTTGATCATCTGACTATGGGGATGCTACAATGGTTGTAAGTGTGAAAAAAAAATTAAAGTCACTTTTTTGCCATTCAGTGCCATTGTAACTTTCAATCGTCACTAAACAAATTGTTATAAGGTGAGGACTACCTGTAGTATCAAAGCCCCTCTCCCAACTGGCCCTTCCTCCCTCTGAAGGCGAGGGACTCGGCTGCCCTGCTGCCTCTGGCTTCCCTCTGAGAGTCTCTGCTCTCCGGAGCTATAATTGTGCAGGCTGTGCGCGCACCCCTATGTTTTCCATGGGGGGGTCGTGGAAGGACTCCGGAGTCACTCCACGCCTTGAAAAACATAGGCACGTGCACACAGCCTGCACAATTACAGTCCTGGAGAGCGAAGACTCTCAGATGGAAACCAGAGGCAGCGGGGCAGCCGGTCCCTCGCAGAGGAGGCTGGAGCGGAAGGTTAAATAAACAAATTTGGCTTCACTTCCTTGCACGGTAAGAGAGAAAGTTGCCTGAGACACCCTGGGAGAATGTTCCCTTCGGGTTGCCGGAACAGCAAGTTTCAAGGCAAAACGCAGCTGCATCTCAGGCAACTTTCTCTCTTGCCATGCAAAGAAGCTGCATTTTGCCTTGAAACTTGCTGTTCCGGCAACCCGAAGGGGACATCTGAAGCCAAATTTGCTTATTTAACCTTCTGCTCCAGCCTCCCCTGCCCTACTACATTAAGATCACCGTGCTTCCCATTCCCACTGGAAGCAAGCAGGCCATACGAGCAAGCAGGCGCACGAGGCCCCCTGATCATCTGAAGAGAAGGCGCCAAACTGTACCCAGCTGTCCTCATCCCCTCTGGGCTAAGGGTGGGAGCGCCTGAGACACTGCTGGGAGAATATCCCCTTCGGGTTGCCGGGATAGCAAATTTCAAGGCAAAATGCAGCTGCTGGAATCTGTGCACGTGCAACTTAATGCTCTTCGAGAAGCCTGCATTACCAGGAGCAGCAGAAACAGCAGCAGTGGACACCACTGCCACCCTCGGTGTCCAGCATCCTCCTCGGGAGCCTTGAGTGGTGGCCGTTTGCACATCTCTCCCGAGCTTCTCTCAGGAGGCGAAATGGGAGGCACCCCACCAGCAGAGCCTCCGGGTGGAAGGCGAGTGAAGGGCGAAGTGATGGGAGAGGTTCTCGAGGAAAGAGGCAGAGATGAGGCCCGGGGCTCGCTTCCCTACTGGGCTATGGGGGGGCTTTCTCACACACCTTTGGAGAAAGAAAGAAGGCTTGTGAGAAAGTCCCACACAAACACACACTGCCTCTCAGAGGCGGGGCGATTGGTGAGCCAGCCAATTAGTGAGCAGCAGGTGGGGAAATCATGGTGCGGACGAGTGGGGTGAGAGAGCGAGTGAGCGGTGACCGTACGGGTGGGGGGGAGCAAGAGGGGGGGGCAGGCAGGAGGTTACTGTTCATCCAATACTGTGCCACCAGATGAACGGTTTCCAAAAGGTATGCTAAATTTCACAAATGTGTTCTAGCGTACCAGTGCAAACCGGCTGAAACCCACCCCTGCAATAGATTCAGTTAACACTTCTCTTATGTATAAATGGATGGAACCAGGGACATGCAGTCACTAGAGGCAAGGGAGGCGGAGCCTCACCACGCTCCTCAGGAAAAAAAAAGAAATTTAAATATATTTTTTTAAATAATTAAAGCCAAGATAGTTGTTACCAGATTCCAGGTCACAGTGGCTTGGTGTCTGCTTAGTGTTAACCAAAGCAGG